TCGTCATACGGAATCTCAGTCATACACATCAATTCCATTTTAGATGAGCATTAATTTGGTATATAATACATTTTTATATCATCTGTAGTTTCAGCTCTACCCCCCTGGAAAAATATTATTTCCAACCGTGTAGAAGGAATCTACTACAACTAATATTTTGTTTTTTAGAAAGGAGTTTGCACCAGTTTATAAGAATGATGAGGAAGTAACCAGAAAACCAACTGGAAATTTGTTGGCGAAACGTTTTAAATGGGATGACGTGAACAAAAAGCAAGAAGACGTTCGATATAGTCCAGTGATTGGGAATAATAACCAGCAGCAGCAGGTGAGGAGCAGGATTTGTACTTGAAAAAAACACTTTAGTTCTAACTGTTAATTTCAAAAGTCTTGTTTTATCATATTTAAGAACTTTGAACATTCACAAATACACGAACAGATGCAGTACAATCAACAACAAATGGAACAAGTTTATAATTTTGATGATAGTAGAAATACCACCGACACGAGTAATTCTTAGCCATAGATATCGTACAATCAACGAAGTTCGTTTTCTCTTTTGTATATAATATGTTTGGTGTTATTCCTTTCTTTATTATGTGATTAAAATATTTTGAAGTGTCAGACAAAACGAATTTGTGATTTATCATCAGAAATATACGCGATACATGTAAGACAATATTTTATCGGCCTTAGTTCTACGCATATAAATGAAGAATTTTGTAGAAAATGTTAAACGCTGTGTGACTGAGTATAATTATAATGTTTTGTGATTCCATACACGACTTTCACCATTGTGTTTTACACAGTCTTATTTTAAGCTTTAGACGGATATAACTATCTTGTTTAGATCTTTTCTATGTTTTATCCTATAGAAACAATGTTTCTTATGGAAAGAAAGTTGTCATTTTTTGTAAATCTTAGTTTACTCATCTATTTGTAAGTGATAAGAGAAAACTTTAGATTCCGAGAGAGTAAACAATTCTTTATATAACTATAGAAAAACTTTTGAAAACTGATTTAGTTTAATATATAATTACAGTGCTGCAAAGAAGAAGCATACTCGATTCTTTTGCGTTTGCGCATGTGCTCAACTATAGCAATTCAGCCATTTTTTGTTCGTTATTATGGCAGCTTTATCCAAATACATGGTGTTTTTACTTATTGTTAGAAAAAAGGTTGTTACTGTTGTTCGACGTGAAAGTCGCTATAGGGTCATGAAGCCAAAAATGCTTGGAAAATAAGTATGAAATTACACAAGGCTCTTTAGGTAGAAAAGTCCATCACTTATATATGAGTGTGTAGTACCTGATTGGAAAAGCATTTTTTGCTTCATAACGACTTTCACGTCGAACAATAGTAACAACCTTTTTTCTAACAATAAGTAAAAACACCATGTATTTGGATAAAGCTGCCATAATAACGAACAAAAAATGGCTGAATCACTATAGTTGAGCACGTGCGCGAACGCATGTGCACTGTAATTATATATCAAACTAAATCAGTTTTCAAAAGTTTTTCTATAGTTCTATAAAAAATTGTTTACTCTCTCTCAGAATCTGGAATTTTCTCTTATGACTTACAAATAGATGAGTAAACTAAGATTTACGAAAAATGAGAACTTTCTATAATTAGAAACACTGATTCAATAACCTCTGCCTTTATGTGCTGCGATTACATCCAGAAAAAACGAATAGAATAAGAAGAAAGAGAACACGATGATGACCATACCTGTTATCTAACAAAACACTGACTTATTTTTTGAAATTTCGAATAAGAAATGATGTGGGTAATCATCTTCATATGGTGTTTTAATTTGTTTTTATTCCACGTAAATTATTCAATTTTTTTGGCGAATAGGTAGGTAGAACAGATAAAACAAAGATTGAAGATAAAAATAGACCAACCTTACATTAAATCTAGCATTCGTAGCGCAATCAACTAGTTTTTTGCTGTTCCTCTTTTCCAGATATCATTGTGAGCAATAAGAACCATTGATAATATTAATACAATGAATAATATCTCCATAATAAATTATACAAATGAAAACATGTCTAATTTTAGTTTTATTAATCATAAGTTTGTGGCTACTGCAAGATAGATTTCAGTTTGTAAAGTTTAATCTGCTACAATCACTGTCTTCTAAAAATCGTGAAAAAAGAGATGTATGGAGCAACTGTTCACTTGTGTTCTTCTTTCATACGATTCTAGATAACAGAAAATACTGTTAACACGAGTTTATTTAAAACGTTATCGTTTTCCTCCGGTTTTCTCTTGGCTCTACTCAGTTGCTACTTTCAGGGCCGCAAATAGAAGCCGAACATTAGGGGTATGTAAAACAAAATTTCTCTCTTTGAGGTAGTGTGAAATAAATAAAAAAAAATTGTACGAGGAATAACGGATAAAATAACANTGTGTTCTTCTTTCATACGATTCTAGATAACAGAAAATACTGTTAACACGAGTTTATTTAAAACGTTATCGTTTTCCTCCGGTTTTCTCTTGGCTCTACTCAGTTGCTACTTTCAGGGCCGCAAATAGAAGCCGAACATTAGGGGTATGTAAAACAAAATTTCTCTCTTTGAGGTAGTGTGAAATAAATAAAAAAAAATTGTACGAGGAATAACGGATAAAATAACATTAGTACATTAACTTTGAAAATGTCGAAATGCAAAAGAGACTTATTGCTTTGAATATTTGAACTTCTCTTACTGTTTGAATTATATCTAGCAAGACTATTGGGTTATGAAAGCAACAATCTCGTGTGTTAAAAATTAGAAGTTGTTTGCATTATTGTAGAAATGAAAAAGATCGACATTCATACACATATTTTACCATCAAGTTTAACTGGTCATCGTAAGCAATTTGGCTATAACGGTTAGAGTGTGAAATTGTGTACTTGTTCGGACATTGTCCACTGATTCTTCATTATAGGTTGGCTGGAACTTATTCATCGTTCTGATGGTAAAGTAGATATGATAAAAGATGGCGAATTATTTCGTGTTGTTGAGCCAAATTGTTTTAATGTTGATGTACGTTTGAAAGAAATGGATGAAAACCATATACAAATGCAAGTTCTATCAACTGTACCAGTTCTCTTTAGCTATTGGGCAAAAGGTGAAGACGCACTCGTTTTATCTGAAGAACTAAATAATCATATTGCTGATGTATGTCGAACAAATCCAGAACGTTTTATTGGACTAGGAACAGTGCCATTGCAATCGCCAGAACTAGCTGTTAGAGAACTGCGTCGATGTGTAGAACAATTGGGATTAAAAGGGGTTCAAATTGGTTCACATGTGAACGACTGGAATTTAGACAATGAACAATTAGATCCATTTTGGAAAGAAGTTGAACAACTTGATTGTTGTGTATTTGGTACGATAATTATTATCTATTAAAAATTGATTTACAGTTGTTTTCGTTTCATAGTTCATCCATGGGACATGGATATGAGCTCTCAAAGACATCGAGATTATTGGTTGCCGTGGTTGTGTGCTATGCCATTTGAGACAACATCAGCAATTTGTTCAATATTAATGGGTGGAATATTGGAAAAATACCCAAAACTTCGACTCGTATTTGCCCATGGTGAGTTTTGTGCCTATAAGTGTAATCTTGCTATGCTATAAAATTAATCTTTCAAAAGTAGGAGGTGGACAATTCCCATTTACCATCGGACGAATCGACCATGGTCATCAGTGTCGGCCTGATTTATGTGCAAAAAAAAATTCAAAAACACCTTCATCTTACATTGGAAAGCTTTATGTCGACTCATTAGCACACGATAAACGCGCATTAAAATATCTCGTCGATATCATGGGTAATGAATGTGTGATGTTAGGAAGTGATTATCCTTTTCCGCTAGGCGAAGACCGGCCAGGACAATTGATTGTAGAAACTTTTGAAAATGATGAAACATTGAAAGAAAAACTGTTGTATAAAAACGCACAACGGTTTTTCAAACTGTAAATGTTATGATTCTTTTTTGAAAAATGACGAGTTTCATTTTCACAAACATTACTCAGCGCAGTCTCTTAGTATTTTTGATGCCATTTTCGAGTATTATGGTGAATACGGATGTTTCAATAAAGAACTTATCACTGTAGTGAGTCATGGGCCAACAATCTCTAGCCAGCATTTACTATCCATCAAATCGCCAAATGTCGGCTGAATATGAAATGTATCATATGCTGTCTGTAACGAGCTACGATCAAAACTTCTAGCATACGTGTTGATTGTTGAATGTGGTGCTACTACTTCATTAATCTGCTGAATGTCACGCATTCTTTAATTATCTAAAAGAACCAAAATACAACATATATATATATAAAACTTTGGGAGCTAAAGTGAAATACTGTATAGGTCAGAGAATGGTGAGGGACTACGTGAAAGAATACCTTAAACAAAGATTTTAACGGACAAATGATTAGAGTTTAAGAGGAAAACAAAAAATGACAAACAGGGACAAATACACTTATTACACCCCCCTCATATATCGACTATTTCAGTTTAAATAGCCTCTGCGGAGTTCACTGAGTGCATTCTTAACAGTCTCTGATCGATAGATCAAGGCATATATGAAT